TCATGAGGGGACAGTGTTGTCACCAGACAAATGACCAGCACAGACAGACAGACGACATAAACGTGGAGACAGACAGATGTACATGCAGAACCACGAGTAGGCCAGCGACACACGCACAGATCGCTGAGAACGGAGTCCCCATCAAGGTGAAATGGCAGGTGACTGCATTTTGAAAGCCACGGCTCTTCCTCTGCTGAACGTCCTCTTGTCTCAGGGCCAATGTCAGGCATTTTAAACGTCACTTGCTTCTTCAGAGGTGGCAGAAAAGAACAAGGCTTATTTAATGTCTTGGAGAGAGCCTTCTGTTTCCACCGCATGGCACAACGATACACTAACTGGTGAAGGCTGTAGGCTGCCTGCCAACACAAGGAACAGCAGAGCATTTGATGGCCAACAGTAGGAAGCAACCCCACACCCCCCAGGAGAATACCACTGCAGAGAGGAGCAGGGACTGCTGGTGACCTCGCGGCCATTCCAGGTCTCTAAGCTGAATTAGCAGCTCCACTGCGCTAACGGTTGGGTAAAGAGAATTAACTGGGTACTTCTACAATGAGGCAGGCTGCACATTAGCAAATGGAACTGCTAGCATCGCCAAAAGCCAGAGAAGAGCTGGGAAAGCTGCCCAGGAGCAGAAAAAGAGCAATCAGTACAGGCACCCCCTGCTCTTCCTTTCCACACGCAGGGCCGAGCTGATACTCGAAGGCAGAAGTGACACAGCCGACATCTGAAGGTCTGAGTGGTGCTAAAGCTTAGACACCGCCTCTAATGCCTCATTCTACACAGAATTAGCGACCAGACCCTAGCCACACGCAAAGGTTTCATCCACAATACTGCCTGTGGTAGGAACTGGCCATGTTTTTAATCGCTTCGTTAAGAAAAGTTCCAAATGAACACCACCAGTGTGAAGTGCTCTAGTCTCAGCTGAACGAAAGGACGGGGTGTCTTGCTTTGAACCACAGGCAAAAGTGTATGTCAGATCCAAACGCGACCCGAGGCGTAGGGCTCCAAGATACACACACACACAGAGCATCCCCTTTCACCTTCAGCTGGCGCTGGGCTTGGAGCTGTCCCTGCAACGGTTTCATGCCAGCGGTGCAGACCCCGGTTACACCTTCTCTCAGGGGAGTAGCGGGGTACACTCCTGGGGCTTTTTCAGTGTCCTCTCTCCTCTGCTGTTGCTCCTTGGCAAACCTGAGCCAAGCATCGAACACCTACAACGTGAACAACAGTGTCCCTGAGGCAGGCCGCGGGCCAAGGACTCCCCCTGCAGACGGGACACTTCCCCTTCCACTGGAGAGCAGCAAGCAGAGCTGCAGCACCAGCAGGACACTACCACAAGGGCAAAGGGACAGGGATTTAAGGGCAGGGAAACACACATGAAATTTTTTTAATCAGATAAGAAGATTTAGGGACAGTTTTCCAGCATGCTAAAATAACATCCAGGACACCAAAGATAAAAGGAAACAAGCTACTAAGTGTGCACCCAGCCAACTGCAGTCAAACCTGCACGTGACCTGCAAACCCACTTGCCTGCCCCTGACTGCCCCACACCCTTACCTTCCTCTGCAGTGAAAGGGACCAGTGCCACAGTGCCTGCACTCTCTTCCGCTTTTCCCAGCGCTGCTGCAACAGCTATCGGGAAAAAATTGCACAGCAACCAGGTTAGGAGTTTACATGTCCCGCACCAGAAACGCTGGCCAGACGGAGCACCATCCAAAGAGGAAATGCTGGTGGAGCCATACACATTAACTCCTCCGTTCACCCCGTATGTGGCAAGGTGTCTCTTGCACAAGTGGAACCAAAAATCCAGAAAACATTTAAATCAAATTTGGTTTGGTCCTCGTGTAAATGAAATACGAAGGAGAAGAAGGGATAAGGATCAGGAAAGAGCTACATATCTACCTAGGTGACAATTCCTTACCCGTGTCTTCCAGCAAGAGAAGGAAGTGGAGCAAAGTCTGTGGGTCATTAGCTGATCTCCCTGCCTCTGCAGTTGCTGTAAGGCAACCAGAACAGTGAGTCACTTGCAGACAAAGCCCACTTATCTGAGCCAAATGCTGCTAGAGCAAAACAGGTACCAAACAGCCTTTATCACCTTCCTTTTGTTCAGTTGAGGCCACCCTCGACATCTCAGTCCTACCATGTAAACCCATTTGCAGATACCTATGAGCAGCAAGGATTTCATTAACAGTAATGATCCCACACAGGCAAGCCCAGCTCGTGTATCTTGTGAAGTCTATTCATTCTACCAAAGCTTCTTCAGGCAAGACAGAGGCACGTTCCTTCCTGCTCCTCCCCTGCCAAGACTACCATTCCCTTCACCAGGCAACATGGCCTGCTCCCCCACACCCTCAACTTCCCACCCCGGCTCACTGGCTGGGGAGGCTGCTGATCCATCTCACCATCTTCCCAAGGCACCGCTGATGGTATTCCTTCCATTTCTCCAGGTACTTGTGGAGTAGGTGCTGCTGGTGGTGCTGTACTGCCCTGCGCTGCTGAGCTGCCAGCATCAGAGACTCCCTAGTTAATTCCTTCCAGTGACAGAACAGGGTCTGTAAACGCACTGTTGGGAGAAGATAAATTAACTAAAGCACCAAAAGCAGACGATTAATCTTCAAATATCAAGTGATCAGCGGCTCTTCCAGGCTGTTTTAGCAATACTTAACGTTGATGATGCTCCGCACCGACAGCACCCGGCACTAGGAAGGATCGTGAAAGACTTCAGGTAGCGGGCAGTGAGTCTTCCCTGCTGCCACTCACGTTCTTTACCAACTTCAGAAAACCATTTGCCCTCTTTGTGCTTCAGAGTCCTCACGCCAAGAATGTGGCTGGTACCATGGAAGTACTAGCAGACTTTGAGGGCCTTTCTGAACTAATTGCTAGAGAAAGACTGCAGCAGTAATTGATAAGGTCACTTGTACTGCCCTCAAAACAGAGATGTCTGAGCTACTCAAAATTAGTAATGGAAAAATTCCTTTGAGGAAAGAAGTGTTACTATCCTTTATACAGGCAAGAAACCAACAGAGAAGCTAAAGTCACACAAGCAAAGAGATCACTGGAGTGATCTTCAAAGAGATCACTGGAGTCCCAAGTCATTCCCCATTCTATGGGGACGTCCTCTCTAGGCTTAACAGACCAGCTGGTCATTTCATCTGTGCAGGTGACACAGAAGACTGCCCTACTTAGCCATGTCTTCCTAAGGATCGTGCACAGACAGCTCTTTTGAGAGTTTAATTCCTCCGTCGGCTCACCTATATCCAAATGTTTTCTGGCCTCCACCACAGCTGTCACCTTCTGCTGAGAGTAGAACACTCGTAGGGAGGTGGTGTATCTCCACTGCAGCAACACCTAAAGACACAGTGCAAACAAGAGACAGGACACAGGCTGACACTGCAGTGTTCTTTGGAAGGGGAAGCCATGTATTCCACACACCCATTTCCATCTCATTTTTCACAAAAGGCTCAGCAAGACAGTGCAAATTTCCTACAAATCAAATACAGCTGTATTTCAGAGGGTCCCCCCACATTTTTCAGGGCATTCTTCTGTCCCTCCACCCATCCCCTCCCTGCCCCGTAATACTACTATGCTGTATCATGCTGCTGCTTTTCTCTTCCTTCTAGGAAACAGGGAGAAAGAAAGGAAGAAAAGCACGAGCTCACGCAGAGACAATGGTTTAGACATGTGTGTAAAAAGAATGGGACTCCCACTTTTTAGACCTGCCTTAGTAGTGGCTCTCAGATGATGGTTTTGGTCCTTCTAATTGTATTACCTGACCCAGCATCTGTACTCAGACCTTGGTGTCTGCACACACCTACCTTTGACAGGATTGCTCTCCTGTAGTGCTCATCTGCCCGAGCAGTTGCCTCACGTACACGAGCGAGGGTGTTTTCTCTCCATGTACACAGCAGCTGTCTGAAGGTAAAATATATTACAAAAGCATCAAAAACAAATGAAAAATTAAGAATTATTCTCACTTTTCCATTTCCCACTCACAGGGGAACAAAAACCAGCTGCCTCTATGCACTCAGTCTTGCCAATCAACTACTACCCCTTCAGGTGCCCGCTGAAGACCAGCACGCACCCCTGTGCCCTGCGTCTTAACCCAAGTCAACCAGGCTCTGCAAGTGACTCGGGGTGTATGGCACTACAAACGACCAAGTTAAAACTAAAGCAACGACAAGCAATTACAAGGTGCTATTATCTTTAATCGCTCTCCTCACTATAATGCAAGAGAGCCTCTACATCTTCCAGGCTGCTTTAATAGCAGAGCAGTCCGAATCCATGCACTGCAGGGAATGATACCGTTTGCTGTCCGGTGTCCCTCATGGGATTAGACACAGATCATAGAATCACGGAATGGTTTGGGTTGGAAGGGACCTTAAGGACTATCCAGTTCCAAACCCCCTGCCATGGGCAGGGACACCTTCCACTAGACCAGACTGCTCCAAGCCTCGTCCAGATGAAAGAAAGTTAAAGCAAAACAGATGGCGATCGAGGAAGAGGTTGACTCCTTTTAGGCAGATGACCTGCACAGAAATAGCAATGCACAGCAGAGTCCACTCCCAGCACTGAATACCAAAATTTACCATGATGGCAGTTAGAGAAAAAAGGGTGATTTGACCACAGTGCAGTCACTTCTCTCTCATGCCCCACAAGGACACGCAGGCTTACCGCAGCAGCAGTCTAGTGTGCTGTTCCTCCTTTTCAGCTACTTTGTAGAGAATGCCCTCTATGTTATGTTGGTAACTCTGCAAGAAGAGCAGCAAGAGGTAAAATTTCCCTCAACTGCCGACATCTGAGGAGAGAAGACACCTGGAAACTCTTAACAGCAGCTCGGGAGAGTAGTAACAGCAGCAGAGTGCAGGGAAAAGAACGAGGTTACAGCCACTGAAACCGAGTGCTGTTTTTCTGAGATGAACAGCCATTACCCACTCGTTAATGCTAGCTATTGTATACCCTTCACCAAAGCCACAAGATTACATTAGTTCTTTTGCTCCAAAAAGCAATGCTAGAGCTTTGTACCACCCTATCCTCAACAGCCTCCGTTCTACCGTGCACACTTGGTGTGTAAGCACCTACAGTGAAACAGAGTGGCAGCTCTTCAGTTCTCGCTGAAACACTTAGGCACCCAAAGACCAGTCTCCCAAAGAAAAGGACATTCCCTCCTACCTTCCAGGCTGCCACGGTCCTGCCAAGTAGCACGTGCTGATAGTGCATGTCTGCTTGCACCAACTTCCTCCATTTCTCGCGCTGGTGTCCCACATACTGTAAGGAGGGAGGGGGTAAAGAAAGAAAACAAAAAGAAAACAAATATATGTACAGGTGATGGATGGAAAACAGGCAAAGGCAGAGGGAAAAGGGCCATTCCCGCTCTCTGGGGAAACATCAATCCGTTATCTTGCTACAATAGGTTCTCACTCAAACTGGTGCTGCACTCTGCTATTCCTCCAGAAGGCCTAGTTGAGGCTTTTGTTTCTCTGCCCTTTTTAGAAGTCTTTTTGAAGTCAGATGCAGTTCACTGTAGTTAACAGTTCTGGACCAACCGACTAGCATCTACTCCGAAACACCTCACAGATTCTCCAGACACGCTGCGAGGCACGTTCGGTACGTTACATCGGGGTAAGGAAAAGGCCCAGCATAAAAGTGCGTCTGACGGGGCCTGCTCCGACCTGTGCACAATGGCAGGCCATACACCACGGGTTTGCTGCAAACCTCCAACCAAAGGCTTGAGGAGGACGTGCACAGTACTAGCTAGGGACAACTTCATCACACTAATTGCTTACATTCCCAGACAAACCTCCGAAAGTACAGTCCCATTCTCGCTGTATCTACACAAGTGAACAAGAAGTCAAAGAACTCCCTCTTCTCCCTACACAATTCCCGTTCCTCCCACACTGAACTGGTTTTATCCCCCTGGAAAGGCAGGAGAACTTAGGAATGTCTAGTGTTTAATATAAACAATTTCATTTCTGCCCATATGGGTTCATGCAATCTGAACATAACAAAAAGCTCTTCCCATCTGTTAACTCTCTCACCTCCCTCCACTTGCTCCAAGACTGCTGCAGACGCTTTGAATAGTGCAATGTTAAGGCTTGCATCTCCTTGAGCCGCCTGTAAGAAAAATAATTATTTCTTCTACAATGCAATTCACGATATTGAGCCCCTCTAGCACAGACACGAGTCCACACTTGCTGTTTGCAGCAACTCGTTTACTGAAAGACCAACTAGGGGATGCTAAAGCACAAAGAAGGAGTCAGAACCATTGTGAATTAAATGCTGTCTGGTACAAGTAGGCCACCACAGGACCAATCCAAATAAATCTCCCTTGTAAAAAACCTTCTTACTCTGTTTTTCTCTCCTGAGTATTTTGCTTCCACAGACAGAAAGCCTTCAGCAGCAGCAGGTTACTGTAGTGACCTCTGGCACGAACCAAGCCCTCTTGCTCCTCCAAGCATGCAGCTGTTCTCCTACGCCAGAAGCACCAGAAATAACGCAGTAGCTGCCTTTCAAAATGAAGCACAGCCTACAACGGAAAGAAAGTGGCAGTGAATTCATGACATGGTCCAGTTACAGACAACAGAAGACAAGTCCTTAAAGGTGACAGGCACAGAACTGTCCAGTGCCTTTTCCTCTTTTCACACTGAGCAGCAATGGACACGTCATCAATGTCCCTTTGCTGTAACTTCATGTGAACATGTGCTACAGGTACCTCTATGCATGTGGTTGAGAAACTGTTATCAGAAAACAGCAGGCCAAAGAGGAAAACACGAGCTAAGTAGCACGCGAAAGGCTCCCAAGAACCGATAAGCTCCAGAAAGTAGTCCTGTTGAATTTGCAAGAACTGATAACCTCAGAACACCAGGAGTCAGCCCTGTCTGCACAAGGCCGCCACACAAGCTCCCATCAGCTACGAGTTGTGTAACTGAGACCACATAGAGGCAGCGGTGGCTGCTGTATATGATGACTACAGGATGGATATATTAGGAGATGAAGGACCCTCAAAGGCACTTTGTGGACACCTACCAAGAAACAAGTAGTTTACCAGTACAACCCCACACTTCTAAAGTAGGCTGGGGTTGGCACTCTGTGACTATTATTGTTTCAACCAGGTAACTGTGAAGCAGTGCGAGAGAGAGCACACGCGTATTTACTGGGTGAGGGAACAGGTGAAGGAACTGTATGAATAGTTATCCTCTGACAGTAACAGCTTGATTCTCTTCTTAATAAACAGCTAACTTAAAAATATAATTGGTTGTAACCTGTTTCCCCTGACTTGATCCCCCACCAGGGAGAAGGGAATTCACAACACTCAAGTACGTCTCGTGCTAGCCGATGTTCACAGTGACTAGGAAACCACCCCCTCTACTTCCTAAGCAAGGCCAGGTAGCAGAGTTCCATTTACCCTCTTCTCTCCCATTCGGCATTCTCGCTGCTTGCACGCCTTCAGCAGCCACGTGTCGAAGACCCGTCTCGCCAACACCCTCCTGCAAGCAAAAAGGGAGAACGTCAGCGCAGAACTCCTTCAGAAAAGACACGTCACGAATGTCGGAAGACCAATCCCTCTGCAACTTAAACAGTTACACGATGGTTCAAATCATGCCTGCCTTCCTTGGAAATCAGGCAGCGTTGTGTCTTCATTATTCTCTGGGTTAAAAACCAGGCGATTAGTCTGTCCTCTTATTCTTGCCCAGAACACAAGTCAAGATCAATTAATGTTCTGAAGTTATTAGAACTGCCTGCTTTCAATCAGATCATTCAAAAGATTGTTCTGACTTCTGATCAAATGACTGACTTTATTTACAAACACACACACGCAGGAAAAACCCATATAACCACCTTTTATTTCTTCTCCCCTGTGAATACAGTCCATTCCCTCCTCCCTTGGAAACACTTTGAAAATCCTACTCTTTTTTTTTTTTTTCTAAACAACACAACACCCAAACACCAAACCACAACAAACACACACTACAATATGACTTGGAAAACAAGCTACAACAACAAATAATAGAGAGCAGCGTGGTCTGATGTCAGCACTGGAGGGATTCTACCAAAGCCTTTTTTATGAACAAGGTAAGGTTAGCTGCCCTCATTATCAAAGCTTCTTACTCTCTAGATGAAGATAAAACTTACTCGCTAGTCTACCTCCTCCCCAGGGATGCACCAAAGTAATTATCCCAAAAATGGCATTAATATCTATTAGTGAGTGAATGCTGTACATCTCTCGCGGAACGAGCATCCTAGTCCACAAGCCTGAGCTACAGCCTGGTGGAAACAGCACCCTGTTCAAAGTCCATCAGTCATTTCCACAGCTCATTCATGTGGGAGTACTAATCAGGTTGTCAGCAAGTTCCAGCTCTTCTCGAGTCTAAAGAGGCCTGAAAGATATTTTGGCTTGTTACCAGGTAATTTTTGGTACGTAGCTCATTACAAGTTTACAGGCTGGTAAACAACATGAGTAAGTCACTCTTCCTGGAGGGCGCTGGTAGGTGCCAGCAAGAGTCTCTGGCCTGCAGAGAGTCACACACCTCAACTGACGGCTCTTCTGGGCTATGTCCTGGGTCTTAGCGCCTCGCACGGCAGCTGGGGCACTGACTTGGGAGACGGTACGCACGTGCCGCACAGACCAACAGCGAAGCTGCCTTCTGGCAAGCTGCCACGAAAGTTTTGCTTAGGTCTGCTTGGGAAGCAGCCCCAGACCTCTGAACAAGAAACACGCTTCTAGTTTGTTTGTGTTCATGGAATAGGGTTTCGTCTGTACACTCTCTAAAGAGAAAAGATGCCACACAAAAACATTCCTGGCCCATGGAATCAAGGTATGGCACAGCACCAACAACAGCTTTTGAATCACCTGTTCATCCCTTCCCTGGTGAGAGGGGCAGAAATTACACCACAGCAGCTGCAACTCATCTTCACTAAACCTAAACCTCCTCAGCCTTTGAACCTTTTCTCTCGCCCTGTCTCCAGAGGGTAGGATACTGCACCCCACCTGCACTCTCACTCTCAACTCTTTGCAGAAATGCAGCTGCCCCTGTTACCCAGCCCGCCCTCCAAACCTATTTGTGAATCTCCCAAAAAGGAGAGATTCTTTTGCCTTTTCCAAGGCAAACTAGACTTTCTGCAGCTTGTTTTTCAACTGTGAAGCTAGGCCTCTGATGACAGAAAGGTATGACTCCAGAGCACGGGGTGTGAGCGTCCTCTGCCAATGAAAGGTGCAAGGTCCCAAGTCTACTAGAAGAGTTCATGTTAAAAAACATTTTCTCACAATGTACACAGGAAAAAGTGTCCCAGGAGGAGGCTCATTGTAAGAGCTTACTTCAAACATATCCTTTTCCAAGGAAGCAAACTCTTTGTTGTTAGCCTTCTAATACAGAAAATGGGAAATGGGTTTTAACAGCATCATCGAGCGTAACCCTGCCTGAAGCGTCAGCACGGAATCCATGGTTAAGAACACAAGCCCAGGCAAGGCCTTTAAGGCATCTCAGAAAAGGCAAACTCACTTTTTTTTCTCCTGATCAACATTCCTCCTCTCTGATTTCCTCAATGAACAAGTACACACTCTTGTAACTCCTGTGCATGTCTGCGCCCCAGTAACATGCCAGTAAAAAGTAAATAGTAAGATATATCACTACCCTGAGACAAAACCTCATGGCTGAATGTTGAGAGGTGATGAGAACCCAAAGCATCCGTTTACCTTAACAGAAAACAGGAATGAAGAAAGATCCCAGTGATTTCACTCGACTTCACACTGTTAACTGAGAATAGCTCCAGCAGTAGAAACTGATTTATTCCAGCAGAACTGCAGTTGTGAAACAAACAGTATTATCATTTTGAGTCCAGCTTCTTTTCTTAAGTTCCACAATGGAGACAAAAATCAAAGCCTACAGGCACATCTTGTTCGGTTCAAATGGAACCCAACTGCACTTACTGCAACTGACTGCGAGCTACGTAACCACAGTCGTACGTCTTCAGTAACCTCTGAGCAAAACCAAAGTGATTCTGGTTGCAAGACATCAGGCAATTAGAGAGATCTGTGCAATAATCATGCACTAAAAATAAACCGAGAATCCACTCTAACTCCATACCAAGTGTGTCAGTCACTTGTAGTACCAGACTCTCTTTTTCAGATTTTAATACTTAGAGCAAACTCTGCTGGGAGGATTAAAAGAAATGAGATAGAGATGTTATTGAGTGTAAGACAGTGTGTAGGCCACAAGGTACTTCTCTGAGCTGTAGTAAGATTAAACGTCTTTTTGAATGCAGACTGTGCTAAGCAGAAGAACACCACACGTTGGCTTGCACGGCTGAGTGAAGCTTCCCTTCCTTCCCTTACAACCCTGCATCTCATTTACACCAGGCAACTCTGTGTGGCTCACTGCACTTACACGGTGGCCTCTCACCAGGTTTCGTTGTTTGAGAGCAGCACCATAATACTGCGGCTGAAGGGGTTTCAGTTTCAACCAAATCGGTTCAGCTTCCAACTCCCAGGGCCTGGGCACTGCGGAGCACGGCATGCTGTACGGAGTGGCACACACCTCTCTTGTGGAGGTCTCACTCTCCTGCTAAGCCTCACCCCAAAATCAAAAAGTTCTAAGGCAACAAAGGTTAAAGACTCTCCTGCTATGCCTCACCCCAAAATCAAGAAAGTTCTAAGGCAACAAAGGTTAAAGTATTACCATGCCCTGCAATTTCTGGCACCAACTGAAAGCAGCATTAAGAACAAATACACAGAAAAGTGTAAGAATGAACTATAACCTTTCAAATTCGTCAAAACATACACTCCCACCAAACTCCATGGGTCAAATTTAAAAGCCTTCTGGCTGCTTTGTTAATATTGACTTATTCCTAGGATTAAATAAATATAGTTTCTACAAAAAGCCCTGCGTTCACTCTTAGAGCACCTCTAACAGCAGAGGTAGCACACACGAGCCATAAACTCCCTCTGTTCCTCCCCAGAGTAAAGCAGCAGCAAGTGTTCTGAGATCTGTCCGTGCCTGTGCTGCAACCAACTGCTCTTACCAGTAAAACACCCAGCTCTTAAGGCTAAACAAGGCTCGGGGCTAGGCTTAACTGATCTCCCTCTCACCCTTCACAGAGAAGCAGACGTAAATTGTCCATTACGCATAGAAAATAGAAGAGCAGTTGGCACCAGCACAGTCATGCCCCCAAAGGTCTCACCAGATTTTTAAGAGGCCCACAAATCCCACATTTGTACAAATTTATATTAATATTTCTGTGTACCGATAACGGGCATGAGCCACTGATGTTAAGGCCTGCTGCTGTTCTTCCTCTTTCTCTTCCAAACGGGACTTCCAACGGTTCCAGAACTTCTGCAGCACCTGAAACAAAACAGCAGTCATGAAAAAACATACATATCAAGAGAGGAGAAGAATGCAGAGAAAGAAATTGTTACATGCCTTGCTGAAACAGCATGCTGCAAGGGTGGTCCCCTGCACTGCTTCATACACCAAGGTTGTTTCATAACCTGCTATTCTGGTGATCACCATAAACACGGGAAAACAGAAAACCAAAATCACGTACCTCAGACTGCCAGTTAACTTCCACAGGAGATTTTCTGTGGCTGTTAGTGTTTAGGAACAAAGCCATCGGTTTAGCAAAAAGGTGTTTTGTAGGTGAAAGTGGCAGCCAATAGGACAGCTCAAGAAAAACTAACACAAGAACAAAAAGAGAGTCCAACTCACTGTAACGTGATGCTGATGGTATGACAGATTTTTTCTCATCTGCTGACGACGAGTGTTCATGACATTCTGCCAAAGACCCTTAAACCCAAGTTTCTGTAACAGGAAGAAGTGCACACAACGTACACACAATCCAAATCTGCAAGCACTGGTAAATTTAGAACTGGCTGCTCCTTACAGACAATCTACATTTGATGCTACTCCTTGCAACGGCCAAGATTTATGAACGTGTCATCAAAGCCATGTATCCATTTCCTCTCACCAACTGTCCCCCTCCAGCTGAACTAAAATTCCCTTCCACTTTCCCAGGGTTTTATTGCAAGACATCTAAGTCCTTATTCAGCCATCAACACCACTACCCAAGTCCTTTCCCAATCTATCCCCTCTTTCAGGTCAAGACTCATAACTTGCTCCTTATGAGAAACAGAGGAGATCCACTTCCCCGTCAAGTCTCCTCTGCACGAGGGCTTTTGGCTGCAGCCCCACAGCACCTTCGTTCAGGGATGAGCATGGCAAAGAGCATCCTGCCTTCAAGTGCTCTTACAGTCACTGATGTTTCCACCTAAGATCCCAACAGGTTTATTGCCATTCTTTTGATGATTGTTACAGATCCACATTTGAAAATAGTTCAGTTCCAAGAAAGCTGGAGGCTGGCTTCCACTCCCCTGTTAGACTGCCTTCAAGGATTTTTTTCCTTTCTTTAAAAAAAAAAAAAAAAAAAAAAGGACACTTCCCCAGCTACCTGCATATGCAATAAGCTATCTTCGGACTCCTGGAAATAAGCATGTATCCAGAGGGGAAAAAAATAATTCTTGTAGCAAAACAGTTTCAGCAGACAGAAACATTTGGGGTAGAGGTGAGGGGAACGAAAAAAGTATCAGGGAAAAATCAAGGAGAAAATGCAATCTCATGGTGAAATGGCCAGGGAGTACGGTAGCCAAATACCACCAAGATTAAACTGCTGCCTCACCAGTTTCCCCACTGGAAGAATAACTGTTTTGGAGAGCAGCCCAGGTTCCCCATTTGAATTCAACTGGCAGATTCCAGAAGAGTTGGAATTCAGAAACCTGACACCCAATGCAAATTCACCATGGCAGAAAACAGAGCATCCCCCACACCACTGTTAGTATCAATGGCACGCTACCAGTCAGTATTCCCATTCTCTCCGCAGCCTCTTCCACCCGACGCCTAACAGGGCTCTTACCACCAGACGATGCCTGTAGTGGTCTTCAGCCAGCTCACGCTGTCGCGCCTCTTCCGCACACAGTACGATATCTGTCACCCAGTTAAGTTTCTCTTCCACCCTGATACATACACAACCTTCTCCACAGAGGGGCACCAGATCTCCAGCTAGCTTTGCTTCAACATTTGCATTTCCAGCACTGTTTGTTACCTGCACAAGTTGGGATTACAGTCAAGTTTTTAGATTTTCCTGATTCAGTGTTAAGTAAGGCATTCCTCCCCAACCTTAAATTATCTTCTGCAGGCTCTTAGCTCCCAACAGCTAACACACTGTTAACTGCAACACTTGTATTAACTGTTAGCATGGCCTTACAACTTTCTAATGACAACAACATGTTTGTTGTCACCCATGCTACTGCACAGCATTC